AGGGTGGCAGGAGTTGGGGGGAAGGATGTGAGAAAAGAGGGACTAGAAAAGTATTTTATCCTGGGTGAGCTAAAACAATTGTGAGAATGAATTGCTCTGAAACTATTGAAGAAGGTGGAGGGGGCACCATGTGGCGTGAACAGGGCTGAGCGTGAGTGGCAAAGCCTCCTGATGGAAAGCACTTCTGTGAGCAAACAGCGCCCCACTCCAGGCTTCAGGGCCCGGGTGCAGCGTTTTCCCCATTCTGCTCCCCACAGCACTTTCATTCTCTTCCCCAGCGCCTACCCTGTTGTGGGCGCTCAATAAATATTAAACAATTGTAAATAAACTGTTCTCAAAAAGTCTGAAATTCACAGGAATCAATAATATTGTTAATATCATTTAACATTTATTGAGGGTCAACAGCATGGCTTAATGAACACGTGCAAATCGGTCATTTTACCATCACATCAAAAGAAAAGAGTTAATACAATTGTGTTAACTATCACTGCAGCATTGCTTCACTGATTTTTTAAAAATAATTTTGACATAGCAAGAGAGATAAACACTATTACTGAAATATTCTTTCGGGGAAATGATTGCTCTCAGATATTATTAATACTCATTTGAAACTAAGGGATAAATCTTCAATAATTACACATCACAGATTCAAAAACACATGCACAAAGAATAGAAACCCCTGATTAGGTGGAGGAGGACAGTGACAAACAGACAAAGCACTTGAGTGTCAGCTACTCTTGTGACAATTTACAATTCCATTACAATTATTTAATATACCATGATTTACAGAAGAGCATCAAAGGAAAAGCCAAAGAGAATAGCTTTGGGGGGTCTAAATTAGTTTGCTTGTGAATTTTCAAATACTTCTTAATGTAAAGCAGGGCTGAATCTCCTATTTCAGGAAAAGAACTCCGATATAATATGATTCACACTCTCCAATTTTTCTCTCAATAACATGATTTCCAATTATGTTCAAATTTAGTCTTGATGAATACAGTCAAATTCTATTTACTCTTTTAAAAATATTTGTTATGCTTCTACTAAACTGGAATTTTATATGACTTTTAATTACTAAGTGAATAAAACTATTCCAAAATACTCCTTTCTAATAAATTTTGGGATTTTGAAGTTATCAGTAAGTAATTATGCTATCAAGGTATGATATTACTTGACAATGGAATCTTAGACTCTAAAGGTTTTCCAGGCCAGTTCTCATCTCTTAGAAGGAAGGAGCCTCAGTGTTCTAATGTAAGACACACACTGTTTAAAAACTGCTGGATAGAACTTCTCTTTACACGTGGAAAAAGTGCTAACAGTCCCGTTTGGCTCCTTAGCTACACACATGAGAAACTGAAGGATGAGAGGGGAATGTTCTGAATTTAGAGACCTCATTAGTTAATTATTCAACTTTCTCTTTCATTTTATGTTTTTAAAGTAATTTCACAAGAGTTACTAAAATTTAATTTTTAATATCTTTGTATCACTGATTATCATGATTTAGTAGCAATTACAAATATCACTTAAAATTGACATAATAAGATTTAATTATTAATTTTTGTCTACTCATTCCAACTTAAAGGGTAAAGGGAAGATTTAACCACTGATAGTCTAAATTCTAAAACATCTGCCATCTTCTGCATTGGGGCTTCACATTATGAGTCGAGAAATATTCTTTTCATTGCACAGTGTGCTAGAATCTGCACCACCCTGTAAGCTTTTTTTTAGTAATTTCTCTATTTTTTGGACACGTCCTCTTTTCAGGCCCTGTTTTAGGCTCTAGAATAAATTCTAAAGAAAGCCTTCAGCAATATCACAATGAAGAAGAATGAGAGAAAGAAAGGAAGATTGGTAAGTGACTTAATTTCTAACTACTTCTAAAGCCTTTTCACTGTTGAGTTTAAGACCCTTTAAAGGAGGGAAGTTAAAAACAAGGAGACGCTGCAGACTCCAGACCCACCATTCCGATTGTGAGGTCAGAGGCTCTGCCTGGTTTCCACGCCTCATGATGCTTCTGAAGAATGGTGCTTCGCCTTGCACTCAGCCAGCCCCATGCCAGACTCCTCAGATATTTCCATCAGAGAGAGGATGAAAGACAAGGAATAGAATGTGGGGTAGCGGGATGATTTTTGAGAAGTGCCATGTAGGAATATATATAAGTGAACACAAGAAATTAAATAGTAGCACATAAGCAATTTGCAAAAAAGAGTCTCTACATTAATCAAATGAAATGTACCGTTTTCAAGAGATTAAAATACATAAAGATGAAAGCGTTCATGCAGCACATTTCATGACTTTTTATCTTTAGCCTTCCTTGGAGCTCCCACAAGGGCGGTCATGTTTACGGTGGCAAACATGCACTATGGGGGAAGCCCTGCCCACTCCAGGTAAAGGCCTCCTGGAAAGGAAACGCAGCTGGTGGCCTGTTTTCATTTGTGTGTGTTTGTGCACAAGCACATGAGCTTTAAAAGAGCAATTGTTTATAAAATGTTTTGTAAGAGTCAAACTGTATTTTAATTAGTTTTAGATCTTCATGAGGGAAGGAATAAAAAAGTGTGCAATTCATCATGGGCTAGAAGTAAAATACAGTCCTTGGGGGGGCGGGTTCTGCAAGAACTTAAACTGAATTTCCTACATGTTGTGTAGATAACTCACATGTTACAGGTTCCGGTTTGCTGAATTATGGGACCATGAAATTCATTCCACCTTTCACGGTGTGAATTTCCCTCGAAGTAAAGTTTAACTTGGCTGATGCTTCTATAGTGTATGTGCAATGCGAACTACATTCAGAGCTTTAATTGAAAACTTAGCTCATAAACTATACTTGAAATCTATTATGATATAAAAGTTGTAAAGGCTTTTTCCATAATAAAGTAGAAAATTCAAGCTTAAGTGAAGGAGAACATATCTTGGATGACGAGCTGTATTTCAATGTATTTTGAAATATTTCTGGTTACTTATTCTTCTGAGAATAACTAACATCTGCATGAGAAACAAAAGTACACAAAGTCTTAAAGCATCACCTTATGAATGAATATTAGAATCCTCTGAATAAATTAGTAAAATGTAGTTATTTAGTACTTATTCCCACAAACTCCCTGCTTGATTAAATCTTATATATCCATTTTCATAGTAACACTCAGCCAAGCACATACCATCACAAAGATAAATAATAATCCCAAAACATTATTTCTGCAGTTGAAAAACATGAGGGCACTGCCATACAGACTTAAAACCGAAATGATTCACTAAGTCAGTAAGAAAAGAGCCACTGAAAGAAACTCTCACACTTTTTCATATAAACTAAGACCCTAAATTTACATAAGGTAACAGACAATGCTAGTTAAAATAATTATAAAGCCATCTCAATGAGTAAGTTCACACCTTGGAGAATTGTTGCCCGTCTTTCTCCACTTGAGGAAACATCATTAATGAAACTGATGCTAACATGCAGGTAGAAGGGGTAAAACAATCCATGTCCAAATCAACATCTTTAGGTTCTTCCACTGTTAGTGTGGGGTTGGGGATTTGAGTCACTCAAAGCAACCCATGACTGCCATGTACAATCAACACATTTCCACTAGAGAGGAATAGAACTAGAAAACTCAGCAGATTCAAAGTGGTTTTGTAATTTATCTCAGCTGTATTGAAATTGGTTTCCCACAAAATTATCTAAGTGCAGCATATTCGGCAATTTAAAATTTTTTCATACTCTTTATAAATATGTTTCATGGACTGAGCCACAAAATATCTCATCAGATATCCAGGTCTAGTATAATTATATTCATTTTTAAGAAAGAGATTTAGGTGCATAAACTTGCATAAGTGAACAACTTGATACTACATATTCCAAGTACTAAAAGGTAGTGGTAGAAAGATTCTGTTTAACTGTATAATTTCAAGTGATACCCAGAAGTTAAAACACATTGGAAAACTTTACCAAGGCAATTTTACAGTGATTTTATTTTGAATAGCACAAGGAACTAAGTCTTCAAACAATCTTTTAATAAAATCTTCAACTTTACTTATCAGAAAATGTGAGGAAATGAGGTTTTTTGCTATAAATATATATCAAAAAGTCTCTCTTCGGGATATTAGGAATCTAACTGTGCCTCAAATTTTAGAGGAGGGAACATTTTTGCTTTTCCCTGAGCAAAATTAGGACCAACTCTAATTTTGCCATAATAAATGACAAATAGGGAATGGGAAAAAAATCAAGTTATATCATATACAGATACAAAGTCCTTATGATGACTGTGATAACTGTGTACGTAAAATTTTCCAATGAGCTTAATTAATTTTAAAAAATATCAATGCAATAATAACATACTATAAAACAGATAAGGGTGAGGAACAGAAACCAAAATGATCCACACTGTTAGAACTAGGAGGGGAGCAGCATTGTCATCTCGAGCTGGTTGCTGCACCAGGCATACTCTAATTAGACCTATGTTTGTTATAGTTGCGGTAAAATAGAAAGCATAACTAGTGCACAGCATTATAATTTATAACATTTAAATTTCTGACCATTAGGAGAGCCGATAGTTGAATTCATCACATTAAACATAACCAATTTACTTTTGTTGTTGCTTTTTTTCCCTGCATCTTAGCTTTTGTATATTATTTTGCAGGCAATTGAAATCATCAGAGCATAAATAAAATTAAGTTTTTTAAAATTTTCTTTGTAAATATGATCAGTGAGGATGTGTTGAAACCAAATTTCAATAGAAACACACCTACCAGTTGCCCTGGTTAATTTGCTCATCCCTAACAGTCTTCGGCATTCTGAAGTATCAAGCAGTCTTTGATGTACATTCATCCTTGGATGTACAAAAGAAAGACAAACCCCTCCCATTTTCCCTGCTCCCAAACACAGGTAAGGGTGGGGTACAGAGCGGCAGGTTTTAAGGGCATTGTCTTCCACCTGTCTGGTCCAGGGCTTTGCTCCGCATGGTGTTGTCTTTCTAAGGAAGATAATGTCAACCTCCTTCATATTTTTTTACCTTGCTCCACTGTCTTGACTGCTTTCTCTTCCTTCTTCCCAGGTGCAACTGCAAAACAAGATAAGCTTTCAAATAGAAGCTCCATTCAGTAAGGCTGCTTCTGCTTAAAGAGCACTTTGGAATTCACTTAATGCCAAACACGTCTTCTAAATAGGATATTTTTAATGTTTTGGAAACACTTCTTATCTCTCTATATGCAATTGAAATCTGCTTTAAATCTAATCTTAAAGAATTAGAGAAAAAGGGATAAACCTTCACAGTCTTCTGAGAGGTTTCTCCACTTTCCTGTTTTATTCCTTTGTACTCAGCTTTGATAAACAAGCTCTACGGAGTTCTGCTTGACAGGATGTGATTAATCAGCTTATGTTCTGGGTTCGTGCTGGAATCAGTGCTTGCAAATGTCAAAAAGGGTTCCTCTACATTTAAACTTCAACATGGCTTAATCAGGGGAAAGACAATGCCATTGCACTTGAGATCTACATAAATTTTAAATGTACCCCCCCAAACCACAAGTTCCAAAAGAGGAAGAGCCGTCTTGTTTAAGTCTTATGCCCCTCAGTTGTGATTTCTCTGAGATTTTTGCTCTTGGCAGAAGCCTCATTGCTTACATCTTAAAATAGCAAAACAGTAGAAGTTATTCACCTAAAAGCAGTAATTGATTCAAGTGAGATTGTTTGAAGTTATCACCAACCATTAGATGAAGGATCAAGGGCAAGAGAATCTTGCCATCACATTCAAGAATCCTGCCACAGAGTTACAAGAGAGGAAACAGAACTTCAGGATGAGTGACAGTGGCTGTGCTCAGGGACACCCACAGACAGCACTGATGACAGTTATCTCATGTGTCCTGACCAGCTGGTGCGCAGGATATTCGGCAGCAGCTCTGAAGCACACGCTAAGGGGTCTGACTGGAATTCAGCTCTGTCAACTCAGCTTTGTGCTTAATCCAATAAATGACATGGAGAACACGTTAAACAATATACTGGAGAAAAAAATCAGAAGAATTGAAAACATCTAAAGCAATAAATGGCTCTGATATTTTCAAAGAATCAGTGTTATGAAGAAGTAAGGGAAGGAGGAAGGAGGGAAGGAAGGAAGGAAGGAAGGAAGGAAGGAAGGAAGGAAGGAAGAAAGGCAAAAGTAAGGAAGGGAGGGAAGGGTAAGAGGAAAGAAAGAGAGAGAAAGAAAGAGAAAGAAGAAAGAAAGAGAGAGAGAGAAAGAAAGAAAGAAAGAGAAAGAAAGAAAGAAAGAAAGAGGAAAGAAAGAAAGAAAAGGAAAGAAAGAAAGAAAGAAAGAAAGAAAGAAAGAAAGAAAGAAAGAAAAAGAAAGAATCTACGGACTAAAAAAGAGGTGGTGAATTTCATCATTAACACATTTACTTCTAAAAAGTAGAAAACAATTTGACCCTAACTGGTTAGTAACAAACCTTCTATTTTGAGGAAAATAACCAAAAATTATCCTGGTAATGACCCAAAATAGAGCCAAGCCTATGACTGAAGTGAGGGAAGTGTTAAGCTGAACAGACACTTAACTATTTAGGAGCCTCCGGAATGTCACGGAGAGAAGACATCTGAGAGCGCGCATGGGTGAGGGCTGCGCTTCCTTTCCGTGCTTATTAGGTTAGGAGACTGGGAGAGAAGGGTGAGGTGGCTTTGCTGCTGACCTAACGGCATGGTCCTAGCATGCTCAGGGGAGGACTTCCAGGAAATGAGTCACAGCCAGGTGAGTATTGTGCAGTTAGCCTTGAATACTAAGGTCCCTTGTGAGCAAGTACAGCCCCAGTTGTGCTAAGGGGATGGGACATCTGAGAAGGGTCAAGGCTTCAGAGGGTGCAGTCCAGGGTTCCCACCGAAATGCTGCATGGGAGGGATGCACGCTATTTAAACTCGAGCCTTGATCTTTAAAGGCGCAGACAAAGCTATGATGGTTGCCTGGAGATACAGTGAAAGCAATGTACAGGAATCAGTATCACTGCCTTAAACACAATCCAGCTTCCTATGCAGGCTAACTCTAACCCATTCTCCCAGTCTTACTCTGGTACTTATTTTTTAAAATTAATTTCTATTTGAAAAGCAAAGAAAAAATGATTACATCAAATACAAAGTAGATTGTTTAAGCATAGTTAAGAGTAAGCAGTTAACTGACAACACCTAGCTGAAGAATGTAGAAGCCATGAAAGGCAAATTAGAATCAGCCTTCATCCTGCCTTGTGTAAGGAGTATGGTACCTTTGGGTCTTCTGTGAATGTCCTCTTTCAAATCATTAAGGAAATAAAAATGGCTGATCATTTGTATTGTAATGGAATCATGGGCATATGTATTCTTATTCAAATGTTCTTATTCAGAAGATTCACTAGGGAACAAATTTCTCAGTTATTTTATTTTAGTCCTTTGATGGTGAAATGTCTCAAAACACAATTGGAAGTGACTTACTCCTAAAGATTAAATTTTCTTTTCAACAATGGGTTAGTAAGTCTAGCACTTATACTAAGTAAAGGAAGTAGTTTCCTAAAGCATGGTTTTTTGGATACCAGAAACAGTCATTGAAGATACTGATTAGCTACACAGAGAAGATGCATTTTCATTAAAGCTTAATCCTTTTACATGTGATTCTAATGAAAAATTTATCAAGCCAAATCCTATGAAGAATAAACCTGAGAAATAAACACTTCACATAAGTGAGTGGATTTACTAACTTCAATTGAAAGAAGTTCTTAACTAAACTTTTCTTCTAGACCATGGGCTACCTGAACTCACCTTTGTCAATGAAAGGAGAAATTTTCTTTCTCAAATGCTCTACGTTTGAAGGAGTTTATTTCAGGTGGAACAAAGGAAAGGAGGGCAGATTTGTATCACAATACTTGAGTTCACAACCAACGTTAAAGAAACAAAATGTAGAGAGCTGCACTGTTCAAATGGGGAACTGGGTTAGGTGTAGGGGTGATCTACCTGAGAGGAGGGAAGGCGGGTTTCTGTCATTACTGCTCTGTAGTTTTACTGTTCTCCTAAATGATCCTTGTGAATCCAAATGTCCCACATAATTTACACCTCTCTTCTCTTGCTTCCATCAACCATGAAGACCCTGACATAAGCCCATAGCAGTAAGAGCTGGAACCTGAGAAGAGACAGAGCTGGAGGGGTAATATTTCAGAATCCCAGGGAGCGAGAACTGGCAAGGAAGAATCATGCAGCTGAATTGTCCTCCATATGGTCGTACACCTGCCATCTGGAATGCACACCCAGATCCTTCACATAAGGAGCTAGTAATATAATAAATATCGGTCCATATGTAACCTATACAAGTTTATTCAGCTTTGTAAACAACAAAGATTGAGACAATAGAATAGTTAGAGAAAACGTCTTACATTAGTTTTGTCCCTGGATACATATTATGGTGGTTTTCATTAATTCCAAATCTACTCATAAGGCCTTTCTCCCTACTCTCAACTTTTTAAAATCTTACTTTTCCAACATTTTGGAGCTAAGGACAATTGTGCTATTGTAGCTCCCAAGACAGGAATGTCTGAGGACCAGTGGGCAGGGATACAAGTTTGGATTTTCCAGACCATGGGGAGCATAGTGAGGGCTTTACAGTGGTTCAGGTAGATGCAAAGGAAGCTTGAGTTGCAATGGTGGTGATGCTTAGTAACAAGAGAAAATATACTAAAGAATATTTAGATAATATTTAGATAATAGAATCATCAGAACTTTAAGATAGGGATCCCACTAATCTCTGTAAATTCACCCTAAAGAACAGTTTGTGCCCTTATTGTTTGATTGATCGTTTTTCATACCTAAATCTTGTAACCTGAATAACTACTTCTAAGATAACAATACACAATACATTAACTAGTGTTAATTTCCTGTTTTTTTTGAAATTCTGTATCATTTCTATCTTTTGTTTTTTTTTTAAAGTTAAAAAATAGTTTGGAACAATCAGGCCCTGGAAATAAAGACAAATCAAAGGTCATCAAATAAAGACAAATCAAAGTTGTGAATGAGGTGATGGTGAAGAGGAGAAAGCAAGTAGGAAGGAGGATGCGGCAGTAGCTTGAGGCAGGTTCAATGGGAGGGTGTTTCCTGGCTGTGGAGTATAGAACCTGAAGTGCCTGGAAAAGTTCGGAAATGCATATTGAATTGGGATCCTCAGGAAAGGGCAGAGTTTTAATGTTGAGAATAAATACATCTCACAAGGTGAAGTTAAGGAAAAGAAAATCAGATCTGGCTTGGGATCTGGGCAACACCAGTAAGGAAGGGGCAGCAAGGTAGAAAACTACCCAAGAAGGTTATAAATAGAGGCAGCAAATACGAGAGAATAAGAATAGATTGTCACCATAAGCTGACGTCACAGGCTTAAAGAAGACGCAATGGGGTAGAAGCCTCTGGACGTGTAGGTTACGTCAGGACTGAAATGCTCCTGGGCAGCAGCAACACCAGCATCCGTGATGGGGCGAATCCTCAGATGAGGCTGCTGAACTGCTGCCTGCTCCTCCCACACACCCTGGAAATTCTTCATGCTTGCTTTGCCCTGTTATCGAGGGCCAAGAGATCTCTACTTAATCACACAGCAAAACTGTAGGTTTAAGGTTCAACCCTAAATCACTGCATATACGAAAACTTTTGTTTTTCCCAGGTAAATATAAAGTGTCTATGTCACTTTGTTTAAATTTATCTAACTTAGATTTCAGCCTTGAAGTGCAGTCATATAGGAAGCTTCCTATTGATATCAAAAACGGAGGCCTACTTAGTGACTCAATAAAGTTCATATTTTTCCAGTACTTCAGTTGCTTCAGAATGATGTTAACTCATGACTCATTTCTTTCCCTGATTTTACATGTATTGTATTATCCACAAATATATGTTGAATGAAAGGAAAAAATGAACAGAAAACAGCAAAGTGCAAAGCAGGTAAATAACATCATATGGAAAATCAAATACTATGTATTTCCAAAGTGAATATGAATTAAAACTAGCCTTAAAATAAAACAATTTATACTGGGTACAAATTGATACAGTGCAATTATGTTAAAATATGGATAATTCTTTAACTGTTAATTTTTATTAATCAAAAAATCAGTATTTTCCACTTAATACCAAACATAGTTCGTAGGTCAGGACTTACAAGGACAATTTTCCAGTGTCTTGGACAGAAAATACCCTTTACTCATTTTCTAACCCTTGTGTACATGCTGTAAAATTTGCTAAGTGAAGACTTTGGGGCTGGATACTAAATCCATGATGAAAGTGTTAAACTCGGCATTAGTATCTGAGAGAGAATATGTTGGGGATGAGCATACTAGGAGACAAAAGAAAAGTATCCTTCAATTTTTGTGTGTAACGTCTCAAAATTGTAAATCCCTACTGAGCTTCAAAACACCTATAGTAGTTTTGAAAAGAATACATAATCCTCCTCCCACTCTAGTGATAGGAAAAGCCAATATGCAGGACCAGATTTGTGAGAGACATGGAACGTAAGATTAACTGGAGGTGGAGTTATTGGTTCCAACATTTTAAGTTTGCAACCAGATTGTTTCTCTCCTTTCACACCTTCTACATAGCAAGGCAGCCTAATTACCCCAACCTAAACATTCTGCAATCCTCTCAACTCAAGGTTTTCCTAGTTGAAGACTCTGCTAAGTTTGATCATTTGATGGTTCAATTTCAATCCCATCTCATTTTTCACTCCAATTTGACTTAACTGAACCCAAAAGTATGTGTGTGTGTCATTATACCCTAAATGCCCCCTACAGGTGGTTCTGTCTGAGTATGAAGCAGCCGCCAGGAGTTCAGTCTTTGGTTTCTAATGTCTCCAGGCTGGGCTCCATTAATGGATTCCTAAGGCTCAGTGTCTTGAGTCAAGTCTCATAAGAAAGCTTTCTACTACTCTTTGGATGCTATGCTGGTTGTGTCTCTGGCCATACTTTTGTTCTTGACTTCAACTCACGTCAATGCCCTGGCCTTGAGTCCCATTGCTAGTTGAACCTAGCAAGTATCTGTGCCTAGATTAATTAGTTTCCTGTCCCATATTATAACCCTTACTTAGTCTTTTCATAATACCATGGCATTAACCATTTTGCAGCAACCTGATTTTATTTGCTTTCCACTTACACCTATGAGGGATGTCAAATTCAGAATATTACACCACAATAGAAGGTATATTAATACAAGCTTCTAATGCATTCATGAATCTGCCACTTATGGTAAGATAACATCCACAACACATTTTTATTGTGATCACTTACATCCAAAATGATATAACAAATATTAAGGTATTAGGAAAAGAAATGAAGCAACAATGATTTTGTTCTAATCCATATATCTTCAGGATAATAGAGGCATATTTGAAAAAGTGCATTCATTAGTTTGAATAACTCAGTCTGAATAACTCTAATTACTACCCCACAGTACTATCTATATTTTACCTTAAAGCAACCTTTATTTCTCATTGTTTTCCCACATATATGTATATAATGCAATATAAATTTATAATTTTTATATACAATTTGATGTTGCGCACATGGATAGGTGTCATGTATATCTTATGCCTTTCCATCATTCTGACAGATATTTTATTGTACAGAATATGCGCAGTTTTAAAGGAACACGTCATGTCCTCTTGTCGTGCGTGTGCAGTTGCGCGAGTGTGAGTGCATCTTATGGCCCTAAAGAAGTAAAGTTATCAGTACCAGAGCACTAAAAGCAATACCTTGTTAACATAAATATGACCAATCTTGGGAGATAATTTTCACATCAGTGACCTAGTAAATAATAAATAAAGCACTTCCCTAACACTAAATAATACATTCAGTTAGAAACTGTGACATGGATACAGTACAGTCATGATGTCCTTTTCTTTAGGCTGCATTTACCTTTTTTGGTGGACACAGCAGCTACTTCTTCCTTGGCTCGTTCAGTTTCTGTAATTTCAGATGGTAAAGGGGTGAGAGACGGGATCAGGGAAGCCGGTCAGTGGCATGCAGCACTCTAGCTATGGTAACAACAGATGAGCCAAGCAAGCGTCTAAGAGCAAGCAAGAGTGGAGAAAACCAAATTATAAAGTATTTGTATTTTTCTAGTAAATTAATTTTTCTGCATAACAATACTGAAACTCTCTCCCAAAATACAATTCTGTGATACTAAACTTTTATTTTTATCTAAGTAGTGGCCATAAAAATGGTGGTTTATCTCACAAAATACAGTGGTATAGTAATGTACTACTTTACAGTCAAATTTTAAGTGATAACATGAATTTTAAGGAAAAGTACCAGAAGATCTATCTGTCTTTGTTCACTTAGTCTTTAACTATGAGGATGACAAATTGAATGTATGCTCAGTCAACAAGCTTTGAGTTACAAAAGATTAGCCATAAGATTAAAGATACTTAAGTTTGAAGGATGCTCCAGGAAGGAGAAAGAAAGAGAATTTAAAAAGCCAAAAATGGCTTTGTAGGATGTCTGTCACTATCTCGTATGGATGATAAGACAGCCATCCTAAAGACATAACCTCAAATACTGTATAAAATATTAGATTTCAGAATTTCAAATTGAAGTTAGTTCCAAGGAAAATTTTCTATAGTCTATAGGAAAATAAGAGAAATAATGACAAGGTGGTGAGCTTTTGGAAGTCTTTATTTGCTCATTTTACAGTTTTTTTTTAAAATTAATATTATTGCTTTCCAGTTCTAGGAATTGAGCTCAGGACCTTTGCATTGTGATACATCTCCATTTCATGGTATTTTTTGTTTTGAGACAGGGGCTTGCTAAGCTCCTGGATGGAATTTGAAAACACAGTCCTTCTGCTTCAGCCTCCTAGAATACTGGTATTATAAACATGCACCAACATGCTCAGGGTAAATTTTTATTATTTGGGGTTATTTTTCTGGATCATAGATAGATAGTGTTATGGTTGATAGATTGTGTCAACTTGAGCAGTTTAGAAGTTTAAGAGACTCAGCAGGGAACCAGGGTTCTTTGTAAACATTTTCATCCTATGCAAGAGAAGAAGAGGGAAATTTTGTGAGTGCTACACCTGCCCTGGAGTAGGGGTGGCCTGTGCACAATATAAGGGAGGAAAAGAGATTTGCTCTTCCAACCTTTTCTCTGTCTGCTTCCTTCAAGTGTTGCCCCCTATGCCATGCCACGTGGCCTTGGAGCCAGTTGAATATGGATTGAAACCTCTACAAACTGTGAGCTAAATAAATCTTTTCTTCCTTCATTTTGACTGTCAGGTATTTTGTCTCAGCAACAAAGAGAAAAGTAACCAAGGTAGATAGATAGATAGATAGATAGATAGATAGATAGATAGATGATAGATAGATAGACAGATAGATATAGATGATAGGCAGACAAATAGAGTTTTTTTCTTGTCAGAACAGGTAATTTCCATATCCCACTCAGCCATGTACTTAGAAACTGATACTCTAGGGACCGACCACCAGTGGGGACCATCACACTCTCACTTTCCTAGTACTGCGAATCCTAGGGCTCTGAGGGAGATAAGCAAAAGGAAAGATGCCTATCACTTTCAAGTTTTGATTCCACAACATCAGAAACCACTGGAACTACACGTAAGCCCAAGTGAGAAGATACTGAAGGACTTTCTTTCCAAGTTGTCTCAAAACCAAGCATCTGCTGAGTAATTTCTGCCTTCCAAGTTGACTTAGATCAGTGGTGCTCTAACCCCGCATGCAGCCAATCACCCTGGCGGACTGTGAAAACACAGAGGCTGAGGCTGGGGGTCTGCTTCTGTCACTGCAAATGGACCTGGGAATCTGCATTGTAGTCAGTTCTCAGAGGCTGTGTGCACTGCTGATCTGGACAGAATCTGGGGAATGGATGAACAGACTCCCTTTGTGGATTGAATGAGACAAATCCCACTGTGACCCTCACCCCTGTTTATTTTGCTTATGACGCTAAGTCCTAGCCAAATGCCAGAAACAGTTCACGTCGTTCTGTATTTCTCTTCAAAACTGACCTCTTCCAGGGCATCCCACTCTGCCTTCTGCTCGCCCGCACACTTGCCCCGTTCCTTTCCTTTGAGGGTGTTTGCTTTCTTCTATATGCCTAATGCTTATGAAGAGTCTCCTGACATGGAGAAGGTCAATATTCTACAATATATAAAGAAACTCGGGCACCAGGTAGTGCTTCTCATTACTTTTCATCTATTGTTGTCTTCTTGCTTCCCCCAAATCCAAATTCCTCTGATGTATGTGCTGGCAAGTTGCTCCAGATTCTGCCACTCTTCGCTGTACTGTAAAGCATGCTGGCAGCACACTGTCTCATTTTCTGAATAATTATGTATATAGCTATTGTATATCAGTTTCCACGGCTGCTACTGTGGGGTTTGTTAAGAATCACAAGCTGCCTGCACATTAGCATGAGGCTGGAAATGTTCACACCATGGCACTTAGCTCTCTGGCTGGACTGTAAGGCTCTGTGGGGTTCCGAGTTAACAAGTCTGGGGTGATTCCTTCAGCTTATTTACTTATAAACTTTCCAAGCTGACCATCGTCTGGAGTTACCGTTCCGTATAATCCCTCTAATTCTCCCTTCCTGGACCTCCTCAACGTTAGGAATTAGAAGCCCCACTTCTCTGGTCTCTACTGCTGACACACTCCTTCTTCTTTACTGCCAAACTTTGATTTCAAGAATTGTACTCCATGAACGAAGGCTTCTCTCTAAGGTCCAGGCACTGAAGAGCTCGTTCTGTCTAGAGTCGGCCCCCTTGTTGTTCTACTTTCGTTCCTTTGGTCCTGCTACATCTCACTACTCGCGACCTTCCTAACAGCCAGCTTTGTAAATAGAAGGGCCGTGGTGAAACCATTCACTTTTTCTGTTTTTAGAGTGAATTTCTGTACTCATTTCCCAGGACAACATTTGAGATGTTGGGTGGATAAAACCACCATAGATGTCTTGTTTCACAGTTCTGGACTCTTTGAAGTTCAAAATCATAATGTTGGTAGATCCCTCTGAACTCTTGGGAAAACTCTTCCTTGGCTTCTTCCTGGCATCTGGTGGTTGCCGGCGTTCCTGGAACTCCTTGGCTTGTGGCGGCAGCATCCCAGCGTCTACTTTCATATCCTGGTTGCTATCTTCCCCCTGCACCTGTCTACATGTCTCCAAAGTTTCCCTTTCTTGTGGGGAGACCAGCACCCTGCTTCTGAGAGTGCTCAGCACAGGCTGGCAATGCTCTCACAGATTTAGATGGGTATTTTCCTATTTTCCTGAAAACCTGGTTCACCAATTCCACTGCACAATGTCCTCAAACCCAAGGGATGGAGATACTGAGAGATTCATAGAGAACACAAGGACAGAACATCAACCAAGCAGACAAGCAGGCCCTTCTAGCCCACATGCTGGCCCAATGCCCGCCTGCCCCTGTGCCCGTAAAGCCTCCAGAGAGCCGCGTGCTACACTCAACCCTGCACTCTCGCCTCTCACTCCATCTTTTAGACTTTCTATTGTGAAAGGTATAATATAAACACATGGAACACATCACTTGTGTGCATGTCACTGAGTGATAATAAAGAATGACTGTCCACATGCATTCTGGCAAAAGCTGGACACACAAGAGCACCAAAAACTTCAGAAAACTCTGAGTTGTCCTAGTTGTGTTCTAGTTGTGTGTCTCTCTTTTGATTTCAGAACTGTTGTCTTAAATTTTGTACTAGCTATTTCTGGATGTTTTTTGAAGGCTGTATTTATTTTTCAACAGGGTAAGATCCTTTACATGAATTAAATTACATTGATTAACAAAATTTTTCTATAAACTGATTTAATTTATTTAATTCTTCTGGTTTTCTTCTTTCAAAGTACTGTTTGATATGCTCATGTTGGTAGGAATAGCTATTATTTTTAATCAGAATGCATAGTATTCCATTGTACACATAATCCATAAGATATGTATACATTCTCTTTTGAGTGAATATTGGGCCATATGTATTGGATTTTATGTTATTCCTAACACTGTCTTATTCACTCCTGTGCATGTTGTCTTGTGCACATGTACAAGAATTTCTTTAGAAGTTAAAATTGATCAGCCACAGCATGTGTTCCTATTGGACTTTGCTAGGTAAATGCCAAATTTTCCCCAAATTTATATTCACATAAGATTTTATGTTGCCCCATATGACCACCATCATAAGAATGATTGTGTTTCTATCAATGTGGCATATATGAAATAGGATCATATTTTAATTTTAAGTAAACTGCCATTATTAACTAGAATTTGAACAACTTTAGATTTGTTTTTAGGCCATTTTCATTTTCTTTTTTTAAAACTTCCTTATCTTTTCTTCATCTTTCATTCTTATTCCTCCATCAAATTTGTTATATTATTATTGTAGAGTTACATAGTTTTGTTACTAGTTTGTTTATTCTTATCTGCTTTAAAAACATATTTGTCCACTGTGTGGCTTGCTCTTTATCTCTCTATATGCTGTCCAATGGTAAATTAAAGGTGTAACACACAAAAATACCCCAGATTTTTAATCCATAGCTGGAATTTCTCATCTATAGTTTTTTAAAACATATTAAAGAGAAAGTAAAAATATATTTTTCTGTGCTTTCAAAAAATAATGCCATGTTTTGCTTTTACTATTTTAGTCCCTGTACCATCTGGAATTGATACTTTGGAGTTGTACAAAGTAGGGTTAAATTACATTTTTTGTAATGAACTCTGACTGCATCAGCAGCATTTTAAAATAATCTCTCTATTCTGTACTAGAAATGAATATTTTTACTCATATCAGATTTTTGCTCAAGTGGGATGCAGTTTTAGATCTCTATTTTTCCTGTTTAATAGAGAATTTGTCTTTTCTACATGAATACCATACTACCTTTTAAAATACAGTATCAAGAGACCATTTTATTGCAAAGACTCAGGACACAGTGCTCATCTTTAATAGTCATATTTTACAGTGCTTTTTGGCTATGTTCATTATTTTATTTTCCCAATACTGAAATCTCTTCCTAGTCTTCCTTTGAAATCCATTCTGCTTCTTCATGTCTGAATCAACCTTAGATCCTGTTTCTACTAGTATTAATCTAATTAATCTGTTTAATTAGATCTTAGGTTCTTTTCGAGCCTAACCCCATGGACTCTGAAGCAGAACAATTTTCAGTTCAGGCTGGGACCCAGGATTCTAATGTGGGGAAATACAGTTTTCAACAGCAGGCACCTTTTTCCATAACACGTGAATCCCCCACCTAGTTTTCCTGCTACTTAAGCCTCCTAAAATCCTCTCTTCAGTGCAACATCAGTATTGTATTGAGTATTTGCTGGCAAGGGCCACTGTGACATAGATAGTGATCACATAACTCATAATCTAGACTGAACAAGGGAAGGGGATGCTGTAACCATGACTCTGAGCTGATGTACTAAAACAGGGTGACCTTCACTGTGATATATGGACGTACTGGTGTGCAAGATGTGATGTAGACATTCCAGTTGTATATCAGGTGTGCAGATTCAGCCTATATGATGGAAGGCCACCAAGCCATGCTCCCTGAGAAATGAAGCCCCTTGCTTCCACATTTACCTGGCCTCTACTATCACTCTATTCACTGCCATACACAGAGCTGACTGTGCATAAGCAGATGCTCCCTTAGTTGGCTGAGATAATGTTATCAAGTCTGACTGAGTCTGAATGAGGTGAGATTTGTCCCCTTGCTGATGGCTGGAATAGAGTCTCAAGCAAGAGCCCGAGAGCTTCCAGGACTAAGACATGAGACAGAATTTCAGCTGAGGCCATGGGACTCAACAGAATTATGCCCTCCTGGCAGTAAAAGTGCCAGGCTTGTATCCATCAAGTTATCTTCTGCACCACTAATTGGAGGGCCTCTGTGCATGGTATACTAGTGTTCTGTTTTTCCTTACATGCCATGCCTGCAAAGTTTCTCTTCCCAGGCTGTCTGCCGCATCCCTCACCTGCCTGCTTGAGTGGTACCAACAAAAGACTTGGGCACTCTGACTCTTGGCCCTTTGTTCACTAAGAGCAGTTGGTCATCCAAGAGCCCCTTCAATTGCAGATCTCTTTCTTTGTCTTTCTTCAGCTGTGCACCACATTGCCAGGTGGGAGCCTGAACCCTCTGTGGGAGTTGCAGGATTATATTCCCTTTTTCCAAAAGTCTCTATGTGACTGCATTTCAGCTGAGTCCAACAGAGCACCATTTTGTCAATATACATCGTTCCAAAATATTCTTTTAATGTTACATGACTACATAAATTCAAGAGGACTTTATTCTTCAATTCTGCATACTGGTATTTCCAGGAAGATCCTGGCATGCATCAGTAAATCAGCTAACTGATATCCAGCTCACACAGTTAAACTCTGAATTGTAATTAAGGTGATAACCCTCAGGCTTGGTGCAGGAGAATACTACCTCATGCAGTGCTAAAATAAGAGAGAGAAAAGTGCCTAATTGTTGCCATTTGATAAAAATTTAGACCCAAAAAAATGACTAGATTTAGCTCTCACCCTAGGTTAATTTTCTTCTCAAAAATAAAAGTGACCACAGGCTTCTTGAACATGCATATGGAAAGGGGAAATAGCTCCAACACTCTTCGGGGTGGGCGGGGCACCAATAGTGCTATCCAAGGTTGGCAAACACTGATTCACAAATGTAGGGAGAAGAGGGAATCAAATCTACTTAGAAAATAATATCTGGTAAGTCCCCTTTTAGAGATTCACTTCCTGAAATACTCTATCTACTTGTATGATCTGTTCCTGTTTGGAAATGATTCATCATATTGACAGCTTCTGCGTTGACATCCAGGGTATAGACAGATGCCCAAAGAAATGACGGTGAAGAATTAGGTATGTTGAGACATTGGATCACAGCAGGAGAAAGAATGATTTCAGTGCCAAAAGAAAAAAATGGTTCTTCGTTGGAGAAAAAGATTACAGTGTTATCAGAGAATTTAAACAGTTTATAAGTAATTCCTAATTGATTTTCATACTGAAAAATAAACATCCATTCCCAACTCTAATGTCCAGTCTCACAGAGACCTGAATATTGACTCTCGAAATTTTCATATTAGGTTTAAAGGATTTAGCAATTTAATTTACTAATTTCCTCCAAAATATGCTGATCTCCTCAAAACTTGATTAGATCCTGTGTTTCACAGATGACAGAACTTACAGATTCTTTTTATTCCACATGAATATTTTTATCTGCATGTCACAGATAATTTACTACTAAAATTATCTACCAGTGCTGCAGAATTATCATTTCATTTTATACATTTTCTTGATTATGCATTTCTTCAGACTAAGTACTTGCACACTGAATAATCTACTATATAGAATTCTAATTAGCTGTATTCAATTTTGAATCAAAAAATTTCATGGAAGTATAAGTGGAAATTTATGTGCATGCTAAATGACTCAAAGTTCTCAATATCTATGTGAACAGTTTCAATTGTAATACTCCTTTAAAAATTTCACCAAGCCACTTAATCAATTGCCTAATTATTTTATAAAATATCTAACCATTGTTAGATGGTGTCTTGAACAACCTAACACTAAATAAAACATGCATTGCTTATTTATTAGTGCCATAATCGATACTTTTGTACATATGTACAGGAACTGATATACCTATAACCCAAAAGGAAAAGACAAACACATATTCTCAGGCATATAACTGACTTGACCATAAGTCCTGCATGCAAAACTTGAAGCTAATTGCATATTTCCTCTAATAAAATACTTGCTATTATGCTTAAATAATTTTTGTTAATTACAATCCGTCAGATACTTCATCAGATTAAGAAAGCCCAACAATGAAATCAGCATTTCTCCCTAAGCATGTTGTCAAGGCTGTTATTGACAGAAATACTGTAGTAGTTGCGGCTTTCAATCAATATTTCATAGTTTAATCATACAAGCCTTAAAAGGAAGCTTTGACACTACAAGATTAGCACTTAATAAAGTCTGGGGAGGACATATTTTATTAAAGACATAACTTTTCTGGTAGACAGATGATATTGTTTACTGATTTGATTATGATTAAGTCATGATTCTGTAAATCAGAAGATAATTAAAATTTACAAATGAAATCTCCATAGGTAAATGTGCCTAAGAATTAATTCACAAAAAGAAAAGATGAGTAATTTTGCATATTGTTTCAACACAACAATGCCATACAAGAGATACTTGGTAAGCCAGCATCAGAAATCAGTAGTGCAAAGTTTACAGCAGAACACTCAAGTGAATATGCTTTTAAAAATTTATGCTGAACATACTTGCTTTTACTTGCTTTTCACTTGGAGCTGTTAATGACAAGGAAAAATAAGTTCCACATTAATTGTAAGTCCACATATCTTTTAAACAAGATATTTAAGGCTATATTAAAGGCTACTTTGATCTCAGAAAGTGAAGAAAAGTTGGTATGAAAAAGATATGATGAAACCTTACAGTTTTTCTTTGCTGTACCCTGTATCTAGTCCGTGAGCTACAACTTTGGGGGGTAGCTCTTCATACATTTTATTCAAACATGGATACTTTCTAGTGATTCATTCATTCATTCCGTTTTCCATTTCAAATGATCTAAAAATAAATGATTACTCATTTATTCAGGAAAATAAATTTTCCTTAAATTCCATAAAATGTATGCAAAGAATGAATTTGAGATGTGAATTTTCAGTTTTTCAAAAATAATCGTTTGTTAGTTACTGCGATGTGATCATGTCCTGAGGGGACAGATGATTTCATACATTAAATTAATGTATTTTCTGATGATAAAACTGGTTACAGCATGGTGATTTTGTGTGTCTCTCCGTGATTTTACTGTGAATGCCATTTGGCTTTTGCTCCTGTGTGCACAGGTAAGTACACGTTACGGGCCACTTGAGACAATGTACCTCTGAACGAACAAGCTGTTCTGTGCAGTGTAGACAAAACATTCCTGCCCCAAGTTCAGCGAGTCTCGCTGTTAATGCAAAGAGATGAATTGTACAAGTCTGCTTCCAGAAAGTGAAAAAAGCTCTGTGTCGGGGAGACTTTCCCACCCTTTGCTGTCCGTGCTGTACACACGCACGGGTGCAATGGCTACCACACTAACAAACAGGTCCTCAGGTAGAAAGACTCCGCGGCACCAGCCTTGCTCACCTGCCTGCTCCTTCTTTGGTGGCTTGACTGTAACAAGGAAGAAAAAGAGGAAACAGTCAGTATTTTCGACTCTTCGTCATAGTTAGGCATTCAATTGTAAGATAAATAAAAGCATGCAATTAAGAAGCCAAAGAAATCTTAAAACCATTACCTGGCTCTGCAGGTTTTTCTTTCTTTTCCTGTTCTGAAACATAGTATTAGTGTTAGCATCATCATCATCATATTTATTACAGTTACACATGTCACAGCTTCCTTGTTTTAACATAGACAGATCCACATGCTCTGAGGCTGGATTGCAGCATCTCAGTAACTGTGAGAAAACCAAAACTGGATACATAAAGTAATTATTCTCTTCCTTTTTTTGCTTTGGGAATTCCCTATAGAACACCGTCAAAGTGTTTTAATATTAGAGAAATTCACATGTTTTTGATGTGTAAGAGATCAGAAATAAAAACTCGATACAGGATGGGAGAACTTTAATGTGTTATTATAAATCAGTATGTAATAAATTTGGGTTGAAGAGCAGCACAAAGGATAATTACTCCAGCTATTTAAAGTCATTCCCAGGAAGACAAAGATGGCCCAATCTCTCATGGAGTTTCTCCTCCAAGAACTTTCTTATATGGAAGAGATATTTGTCTAGTGAAGAGAAAGGTTTCTAAAGCAGATCAAAGATGTTCATCAAAGAAACAAAGGAAAGAGTAAAGCATACTTGCATTGTTGTGAAGACAAATGCTCTTCATGAAACCTTCTTGAGTCAGTGTTTGTCCTATGAACCCACCCTGGTCAATGTTGTTTGAAGCGCTATTCCAGCCTCAAGACAAAGCTGATGCTTACAGTACAATGAGTCTAATTTCCAATGAATTGCAAGCACTGATTTAATGTGAAATGCTAGTATCTGCACTTCTATTCGTATTTATTTTGACTCAATAAGCTTGTCAGGTGAAAAGAATGTTTTCAAGAAATGCTATTGTATAAACATTACTAGCTGATAGCTTAAAGAAAAAGAATGGGGAGACTTCTTAAATTTCAGTGAATATTTTGAAAACTAGACAATGTTTATGTAGAAAGAAATCTCTAAACTAGATCTTAGAAATAAGGGTTACAGAATCTTCTGTGATCATTGCATTGATCTCTTAATTTTATGTATCAGCCTTCCAGGTATGTAAGTATAATAAAAAGCTGCCCCACCTCTAAGACAGCATGCAGGGTTCATAAGACAAGTGAAATAATCAACTTGACCAAGCATCCAAGTGGAAAAAGAACCTTAGCTACAAGTAAAGGTAAGGCAAACATTACTAAATGTTGTCTCCCAAGTGGGGAGTAATTGGGTGTATTGTCTAAATAAATACTGAGTGAAAAGCTTGAGTTATTAGAGAAATTTCTAAATAATTTTTTAGAAAGATTTGAGGTGGAATCTGATTCTGCTGCCCAGGCTGTCCTTGAATACCAGATCATCCTGCCTCAGCCTCTGAAACTGCTGACACTGCAGGCATGTGCCAGCTCACCTGGTTTTACCTGCAGTCATTTCTAAAGTGATGACGATTACAAAGAAAGACAACACAAACAGATTTAGGTACTTATCAAACCTGAGCATCAGCTATACGTGAGGTTCACAGTCAAAATTGTCTCTAACTTACCAGAAGTCCACAGTATAAGGGAAGCAGCACTGTCCTAACTGAAGGTGGCACCCAAGAAAAGTGATCTGAGGGTGTTCATTACACAGGACAGCGCGAGACTGAACTAGTCCATCACTGTAACCAAAGGTTACCTTTAAATATTACAGAGATTCGAAACTCATACATATGAGTGATAGCTTGAATTGTTTTATCAGACTTTTAATTTTGAGAAAACCTATAGATTAAAGAAAATTTCAAAATGTACGAGAATAGTCCAAATACTTTTCCATCCTGTACCTCTTACCATAGTATATGTATGTCATCTGTGTATATGTGTGTGTGTGTGTATGTGTGTGTGTGTGTGTGTGTGTGATATGACTACGTGTTTGCAGTACGTAATCTCTGCATTCCTTGTGTGGGTTTGAATCATGTGTAAAACACGTCTTAATTCCTTTCCCATTCCCTTTCTCTCCTCTCCCTCCTACTCCTGATCAGCTTCCCCTTGGACAGAGATTTATCTCCCTACTTCCATTATTTATCTTTTATTATGCTCTTTATCTATAATTCCTATTTCTCATTTAAGAAAAAATGTGATATTTAAGCTTTCATGTCTGATTTATTTCACTTACTGTTATGTTCTCAATTTACATTCATTTTCCTATAAATGATTCAAGTTTATCTTTATTTACGACAGTATCGCTCCATGGTGTGTAAATACCACATGTGTATGCAGTCATCTGATGATGAACGTATAGGCTTCTTCCAAGTTTCAGCTATTATAATTGCACTGCATGTATCACTATAGCCTGATGGCTTCAATTTATAGGAAAAGATAACTAGAAAAGGAATAGCTGGATCACATGGAATTCCTTATTTTACCCTTTTGCACAATCTGCATACTGCTTTCTATAGTGGTTGTATTTTTAAACAGGAAAAAGAACGATCTTTTAAGTCATGATAACTAAAAAAGCAGAAGGAAAACATATGGTAATGGTGTGGGATGGGAGAAGCAATCTTGGAGACAGAAATACCGAAGCAAACAAATGCAAAAACACAAGCAAAATAATAAAAGTCTGTGCAGGTGACGAATCAGAGCAATTGAGCTAATTGCAAAAGCATTAACATGTGCTTTGAAGAAAACTGTTTCTTCTCCTGGTCACTGCTTAGCTAAGCACACTTCACAGAGCTTCTCAAGGAGAGAAGCAGTCAGATGGTAATGAGAACCTGGGCAGACGCATTTATTTATTAAACACACCAATGCCCTGAAGACTGCTAGGGAGCTGTGCAGTGTGTCTGCAGGAACTGCTAAATCATATAAACTGCAATAAACCTAGGGCCTTAAGGTTATAGATACATTATTTAACAGTGTTTCTCAAGTCTCCAGTTGTCCGTCATTCGCCTGCTGGTACAAAACTCATCAGCAGCTGTGCACAAGCATAAATCCCAGGCTCAACGAACACATCCTTCTCCATAGATAAATTGCTCCCTCTGGCTTCTTCTAGCATAATTTCATGATTTTTCCCCCCCACGGGATATTTTATAGCATTTTTATGACACAGAATGTCTTAGAGTCTTAAGTTCTTGTTGAACCAAAGCATACATAAACATTCCTAAAAGCTGGTGTATACTTTAAAACAAATGTCTTTGGTACCACTGGGAACTTAAAAGTCTCCACATTGTGGAAATGTACTACTTTTAATGGCTAACACATTAGGATAAATAGTTTATTTTTTAAAACTCACATTTGTTAAATGCATCCTATTATTTTCTTATAAAGGAGTGTACACACGTATAAAAGTCACAACCTCAAGGCACTGATTTTTTTCTGAGTTGCTCACAAACAGGTTTAATGGTCTATCAAAATCTGAGATGAGTATCCATAGCAATGTCAGTACACAGAGCTCACAATCTGTATAGGGCAAAGTCGTGTTAGAGAGAAAATGTCATGTCTCATGTGAACATGTCAAAATATCTACAGAATTTAAGAAGGACAATCACAGGAAAGAGAGTGATACTAACCTGGAAAATATTTTATCTATGTTTTCTAAAAATTGATAACTACCTGGATCACAAAGACTGCATTCACACAAACATAAGACCTTGTTGGCTAATGGGGTGCAGTTATATTTTTTGTTACAAGCTTGTGCAAGTTATTACTAGACACTGACATGAGTTAAAAAAAAAAAGGCTTTAGGGATGCATGCTTTCCTTTCAGGCTACTCTGACCTGGGGAGTTGTATATTTTTTATTCTGACAAAACAATTAAGACACAGATTCCACATGCATAAAACATAGGAAAAAGACTCAAAATGGCACGCCTAAATAAACTAGGTAGCCAGTTAGAAAAAAAAAAATGTACACAGATTGGCTTTGCATGCATTTCTTACTTTTTGCCTTGGGTTGTTCTGTTGAAAAAAGATACAAATAGAAAACCATTGCTCCTGAAGGCTTAAAGTAAAACTTGCTGCCTATACTGGGATTAAACTGCAAGTTTTCTAACCTATCTTTGTATTTTTCCCCTTAAAATGAGTATGGCTCTGAAATACTGTACTGCCAAGTATTAAGATAGATTTATCACTCAATGGAAAAACATCATCTGTCAATTAATTGAGATAAAATTGAACTTTTGACTACTGTAAATTATTTACAGGTGGTAGCTTTCTTAACGAACACATTCAAACAGCTAAACACTTTGTATGCCCAAAAAATAGGGAACAAGTGCAGAAAGCACAGTCTGTACTTGCCAAATAGGTGAGGATCCCATTCGAGATTTAAAAAAACACTAAATGACACTGGTGTTTCCAAACTACACTGAGTATACATGATCCAGTAATGCAAGTACTTAGCACTGTTCTATTGCTTATGAAACAAACACTTCTTTATGACAACCAACTTTAAAAGATGAAAGCATGCATTAATTTTTATCACTGTCAAATATCTTTCATAATATTATCACTAGAAAAAATTTGATACTCCTCCTTTTTCTCTGCCCCATTTATAGATTTTCTCTTATGCAGATCCTTTAAGGAAAATCCTACTGCTGAGGACTTAGCTCAGCAGCATAAGCAGCCGCCTGGTAAGTGCGAGCTCGGTCCTGAGTTTGATTCCCTGGTACCAAAAGACAAACAAATAAACAAACAAAATACTACTTGAGGACTTGTCACACACATGAGAGAAAAAGAATATATTTCCATTACCTTCTGTGGGTGTTTTTATTTTCTTGGAGTCTGAAAACAAAAAGAAAAATTACTTATAAAACAATACAATAATCAACAAGTGAGTATTTCATAAAAAATTTCCATAAACACTGAGGCAATTTTCAGCAAAATAGATTATCCGTATGAAATATTTCCAAAATACAAAGCCTAAGAGAACTACCATTTGCAAAAGGATGAGTGCATAAATGAGAGATGAAGTGGAAAGTTTTTGAAGTATGAACATAACAATTATAAGAAGGTATATACACACAATTTGCATAGAGATTTTTCAGGCCTACCTACACAAGTCACTGACTTTTAATAATAAGTCAAACTGAGCAAGTCTACCCTGTGCTTCCATAAATACAACTGTTGTCCAGGAAATTAGCTTGTGACCACCACTGTGCTTTCTTTGAATAATCAATACACTTCCAGTAAAGATACTTAATTTTTCTCATCATAATGGAAAAGTAATAGGTTAGTCTTGCTCATGGGCTACTGACAAGCACATTATATTATAACTACTCTGAGGTAATATGCATTGAATGGTCAAGGACACCCATTTTTTTTAATGGACAGTCAGCTAAGATTTAATAAATTTATTTTTTATTGTTTAGGCCATACATTTTCTATCAGCTGAAAATAAAAATGACAGATTTCTGTCTTTTTTAAAAGACTCTCAGAATGGAAGTGTCTTAGCTTAAATTCTATTTATTTATTTAGGTACTGGGGACCTAGAGCTTGCCAGGCAGGTGCTTATGCACTGAGCTAAATTCCTAGCTCCTTACATTCTTTCTTAAAATAATTTATCTCTTATTTTCTCAGTCCTTTCACATCTTCTGTAACTTAATTGTGAAATTAGAATCATGATAATGAACTATGTATTGGCACTTACGAAAGGTAGACAATTTGTTTTCTGCCTGACAGTCTGTCTCAGGACTCAGAACAGTAAACATTCACTAATAATTTCAAAGTTAAGGGATTTGTATGTTGCAGAGTGTCATGGTGGTATTGCGACTATATTTTCATGATTTGTAGCAGACCAATATGCTTAAAAATGACACTCTATCCACAAGAGGCAGCTAGATGGCCAATGAAGATATTTTATGAAAACAGTAACAAGTAATAATGTGCCTATAAGAGTGTAAAAGTAACAATCCATTTTCATAGAATTATAAGCTGGAAACACATGTTAGCAAAGCAACCTGGGAAATAATCTAGACTATTGTAAAAATCAGCATGCTTTTCAATGTAGTAATTTCAATTCTAGGGATTCAAAATGCAAAATTATAAATGTACAGTTGATCCATGACATTGTTTGATTGTTCTAAATAATGTAAACATTAAATAATATAGTCTGAACAGTAGGAAATTATTGAAAAATTATTATATACCCACTCAATAGAAAAGTATACTCCTTAAAGAAATATTTTTGCAAATTATTTTACAATCTGGGAGGCCAATAGCTAAATAACTAGGTATTGGGACAGGATAAATGTGGGAGACTCAATACGATATGTTGATTAAGTAATAGAATGTTATTTTCAATACATCTTCCTTGTTTTTGGTAATAAAACCAGTAACATAGTACAAAACAATTGTATGGACATGAAAAAATGAAACATATTTTGAAGTCCAGCATTGGGTAGATAATAGCATTTGTTGTAGTAAAACATGTCATAAAATAGAAAACTATTATCGAACCAAGCACGTTTTTTAAATAGTCCAATATATTTAAAACCAGGAAGCTATAGTGAAATTTACTTAGCATGTCCTCATGAAGACATAACCTTTCATTAAGAACCAACAGCTCCACAACTATCGAGGCAACTGAAAACATAATTCTTGGAATCGCGGCTCACACAGAAATGGTACCATACTTCTGTTAATGATGCTGGGGTTAAACTTCATTACGCAGGCCACATCTGTGCCGAAACAGATGCAGTGTTGCCATGGTTTACTTGGTGAACGTACATCCCTAAAGACTATCTACCCAATGCACGGAGGAAGTCTTTTTATTGGGAATACTGAGGACCTAGCAGCTGTGTTTTAAAAAGTGGTGTGTGCCCATGGCCTATCCAATCCATCACTCGCCCATCCTCAGCACTGTCTATTCATTCACAGTAGGGCCAGAAGAAAAAGAAACAGTAACTCCTTGGCAGTCCAGTAATGTTGGTAATGAAACGCCCCCTCTCCACTGTGAAACCTGCCTGGTTGATATCGTTCCTCAATTATAAAGCCCAAATCTCCCCCCCTCCCACTCTTTTTTCTTTCAGTGAGATACCTCCTGGAGTCTCATTTCTAAAGCTTTAGAACTGGAGATTAATTCCAAGGTGCACTGACTCTGCTTGTACCAGCTGCAGAGAACAGTTGTATCTCATCTGGCTAGTTCTTAGTGGAGTTCTGTCCTTCAGAAGATAAACTGAAATTCCTAGAATTGTGTTCTCAAAGAATTCATCAGTGAAGCTTAGATTAAGTGAAAGAGATCTGATTCCTGGTACCTCCCTTCCAAAAAATGAAAGAGATCTACCTAAATGGGCTGCTCTTACACATGTGTTAGTGACCATCCACACCAAAAATGAAAACCAATAGTTGGATAGGATTCCTTAAACCTAAAGAGTTCATCAGAATGGACATTATCATCATGTAGTAATCGTAATAAATCTTGCATAGGATAAAAGAAAATTGGTGCCTATTAATATTTATCACTGCTGTTATGTGTATCTTAAGAGAACTACAAACACAGAATGTATCCTTGTTAAGCAGTGTGCAACTAAAGCGACTGTTTAAGCCCCTGAAAAAGGCTAATCATGAACTGGGCAGGGTCCCTAGAGTCAAAAGCCTTAAGTCGATTAGCATAAGAGGAAAATGAGTACAAGCAACAGGAAGTACAAAGAAATTAGCACTGACGGGGAAGCAGAGGATACAAAGTGGTTTCCTGGGAAGGTCCACGTGTGTGAGGAATGAGAAGCTTTCCTGAACCCTTAAAGACTGCGCATCTCCAGAGCAGGAAGAGGTAAGTTTTGTTAGGATGACAACAAGAGTAGAGGAAGGGCAGTGTGTTTTATATAAAACAGAAAGCAGCTTTGTGTAGAGCAGCCTGTAAAAGAAGACTGAGGAACGCACAGGGTGATGGCCCCACCATGCTGTCCCTTGACTTTGTCACATAGGACACACAGGCAAAGGTTTGAGACATAGCTACCTGGAATTTCAGCGGGATATGCCTGCCCCTCCTGGGACCAGGGGACCTTGTGAGGGCTGCTGACATCACTTTCCACACGCACCCTAAGCTCTCCCAAGAGGGCGGGAGGAAGCCACACTTCCCCTCACCTAGAGCTGTGGCATTGCAGACCACAGCCATGGTCTGGAAGTGGCTTCTTGGCATGGAAGCGACTCTATTTTGGTTCATCTGGCCCCATGACTTGGGTTTACCCTTTGTGGGCTGCACAGAGACCACAGAGAGCAGGCACCCTCAGTACTTTGCCTTTTCTGCTTGGCAGATACTCATGACCTCGGTCTCAGAGGAGCTCCTTGGTGTTGACACAAAGTCAGGACAGGCAAGTGAGAAACAATACAGGGACTTCTATTGTAGGCTACATCCTGCAGTCTATTCAGTGGTCATTGTGACATAAAACGTTTAATGAATACAACTGATCAGTCTACAGACAGATAATATTATAAACAGGATAATTGTTTCTGTCCAACAGCTCCAAACATTTTTATCTCAGGACTCCAAAAGGAGTCTCAGCAATTACTAAGGCTTCTTATAAAGGATTGTTATTAACAACTACTAAGGAATTTTAAAAAGCTGAGGTTTATTTTTCATTGTGTTTATAATTTCAAACATTAAGGCCAATGTTTTTTTAAAATATGCATCATTTATTCACTTGTTAGAAATAGCCTGGTCCATGTTCACCTAGTGACATACTTTAATAACAAACACTTTTCCCAATACAAAAAAGTTTGGTGACATGAGTGACTTTATTTGACACTTTTGTGAATCTATTCATGTCTGGCTTAATTAGCAGCGGCTGAATTTATGTATCTACTTGGGTGTTCAGTCTGCTGCAATTTAATACATCATTTAGCCTCTGAAAATCTCCAGTGCATTCATGCGAAAAGGAAAGTTAAAAACACAAACAGCAACTTCATACTTTTTACAAAAATAGCAGTGACCTTGAAGAACCCTTGGAGTGGATGCAGTAATTCCAGGAGTGACTGGAGTCTGGAAGTGTCTGATTTCAGAGGTCATTGCCTCGGTTGACACGAGAAGTTGGTAAGACTGACACAGGGTCACAAATGCCAAAATGAGGTCACAAGTAATCTTAATGAAGATTACTTGTTCTAATGGTTTTGGAAGACAGTTCAGCCAAAATGGAAATTTTGGAAGATGAAATGCCAGAGCAAAGAGGAAGAAGCTAGGGTTAAAGCTCACACCAGAATTCGGATGTTGGTACCCACAGAGCACTTTTATTCTTCCTAAGTGGTCGCAGACCTGGGTCACTTGAATCTCTACACACAAAGCTCTGCCAAATTCTGCATGCTGATTAGACACGTTCTCAGCAGTTTGCAATGAGGTACAAAATGACAAAAAATAGAACTAAAGAATCCCACAGGTAGATTAATGGAAGGGAACAAATATAAAACCCAAAGCTATGAAATGTCATTTGACTCCCATTTCATAGGCCTAAAGTTCATTTACTACTTTGCCTTGGATGAATAAAAAAATAAACATTAATGTTACTGCTTTATCTCAATCAAATGATAGACTTTTTTTTTATTCCTAACTGTAAATGGTGGAGGAAAAATTAACCTTCCTGGAATATACTCGGTCAAAAACCAAGTCGAGAACTTACTGTCTTTATGTTCCTAATAACATATCTGTTAGCTCACTAGAGTGTTGGTACTATGAATGTGTATGTTTCCAAAAACACACTGAAAAGATTTGCTACACATATGAGAAATTAATACTGATTTCAGTCTCTCAATACAAAGCACATGAACAGGTCTTCAGTGCCTTTATTATGGCAACGTCTTTTGCTCTCCTTGAATGAACAGTAATCAACAAACCAAAACACTGTGTCTCTCACTTGCACCTGACCTCTTAGGTTCCTGTTCAACAGAAATGAAATGTGACTCTGGAACTCTTATGATTTGATAAAACTCTGAAGATGCTAAATATAAAATATAACCCTAGCTTTACACTAATTAGATTATAATTGTCGTGTTTTCAACATTATTAGTAATTATTAGTAACTTCTTAAGTACACATATGACTTTAAGAACAAAAGCTTGGTTTAACCAGCAGTCATGCAGCCCTGTGCAGTTGTGTCAGGGTGGTCTCCAGCATCTCTATACAGCCACACTGAGTGGAACAGCCTTGCTGTTCTCCTCTGCTAGATATAGATTTCTTCCTGCCTACGGGCTTTGGGGGCTGTCTTTTCTTAGAGCTTTTACTTTAGAAATCTTATGATTGCAAATTTTTGCTATGACCCTTTGACTTAGAAATGTTGTACAATCAAGAAATATTGTTCACCAGGAAACAAGCACCATGTGTTTGAAATATAATCATTAATCAATCAATCAATCAATCAATTGACAGCAGTGTTCCTATCTCCGAGTATCTTGGTAGAGTAGAAGCCAACACTGCCATGTGCCTGTCGCAAGGCTCTGGGGACTCGCACACTGGCCCTCGACTTCCTCAGAATCTTACGGTGCCACACTTGAGGTCTCCAGCTTTTAGCCTTGGTGGGGTTGGGTTCAATGTCTCTCCTCTACTAGAAGACTCGGCTCCTTTGGCAATACTCATGCATAATGTTTTTCTTTCCCATTTGATTGCACCCAGGGAAAACTTCTTTGGAAATAAGATTATTGTACTTTGCACTAGGCCATCCTGATATAAGCAAGTAGACTGCCAGGGATGAACTCTAATTTATTTGTGGCTCAACAGAGCAAAGTAACATCAGTTGCTTGTGTGTGTGTCAAAGATATAAGGAATTAATGTAAGGTATGTATTTTACAAGTTGTTGAAATTTGATAAAATTTCCAACAGAATAGGAAGTCTAGGATTTGCTACGTTTTATCCCTTATATTTTGAGAAACAGACTGAAATTACTTTCTAAGTAGCAACACATCACTTAGTGTGAGATGAGACAGAAAAGCCCACTCCTGTTAAATGTGCACACATAATAGACCCAGTGGTAACCTACAGGAACACAGGTGGGAGAGAGGCCCAGACCCAGCTCTGATGACTGGGGAATTGTTCCTACAGAAGGTGCAGTGCGACTGTGTGTCCAACATACCTTCCTTCTTGTCATCCTTTTTAGCTGCTGCTGAAATAATGAAAAGAAATGGTGTTAAACGTTATAAATGATCATTACTCAGAATATTCAGAATGTGAGCATATATCCGTACATTCAGAAATTCAATGGTCACCTATGTTTTAATTAAAACATGATAATTTACAGTAGGAATATAACTTGAAAGAGTATGTCATATAAATATTTTTAAAATGCAGAAATAAGCACAGAATAGAGCAAATGACATATTGAATTCTACAGATAAGAAGTCAATTCCATAGTACATGTATGTTATAAGTTAAATTTAGGTTTCAAATAGTTGTATTCAAGAAAACCAAAATTACTCCTAGAAGGTCATAAAATATAAAACTATAAATTGATATATCAAAAAATGGAGATGTTATACTACAAATTATCCACACCTAGATTCTAAAGGATTAAACATCAGCATGTACCCTACATTTGCCTATGACAGTGTTTTAAAGATCCTTCTTCAAGAAAAGAGGAATAGATAACTCACTCTCCTTTTAGGAAAAAATAATGCCGTCCTTTGTGCAGTAAAACAGGACATAAAATACGTTAAGCAACTTTGAATTATGGCTACCTTGTGATGGCTTGTGACATGCAGAAACCAGCTCACAGCTCATCAGTACTGCCAGAAACTTTTAGGAGAGGTGTTCAGTAGGCTTAGGAAGGTTACCAGCAGAATGGACCTTGGTTTTCTTCCAAAACAATTCAGGAGCTAAACTAACTCAGTTTAGAGAATCTCACTCAAGCCACATTGCTCAAGCCTCTGTGCACACAGAGATCCAACCAGACTCAGGTGAGCTGCTGCAGGCCGCTCAGACTCCACACCCAGGACTACTCTGGGCCTTCATTCTGTGCTCCCAACACTGCCAGAGCATTTCCAAGTGCACCCTCTAATCCGCACAGTAGCTTCTAAATAAGAGCAGCCCAGAGAAATGTAGCATCCACAAGACCAGAGTTATCTGCAAATGTTCACCCAGAAAGGAAGTAAAATAACTGAGGACAAACACCAAAAACAAAAGCCAGAAAAGAAATAGCGTGCCGTACTTTAATTTCATATACGTTGTTTTTCTGTATTTTCTAAATGCTGTTGACATGTTATTACTTTTGTAGTTTAAAAAGTGACCTTACAAATATATTGTTTCTACATTGGGACATTTTATTCTTTTTAACACAGTTTTAACTGATAATACAGAAAATATATAAAGAGCCCATATCTATGAGCTTACTAAATCCTAAAGGTTTGTCTGTTCCAATGATGTAATGAAGACAACAGCTAAAGTGAATTCAAGATTTGGATTCTGCCTGATACATTTCAAAGCCCTGCAGCAGTAATTCCAGCAAGTCCTGTGAGTTGAACTTGTTTGCTCTTAGTTCCTTACATTGCAAATAACACTTTTGCTTTAAAAAAATTGCATAATTTTCAAAATCATCCAGCAAGAACACATTTTTATTCCAGATTCATGTATTATTCAGGTTTTCTCTCAAGTTTACACAATACAGAGAAGGGGTGAAGCAGAGCAGCCCACTCAGATCCCACAAAAGGAACACGATTCCTTTGTGTAAGTACCTCACAATATTTCCCATAATTTAATTCATATACTCTTCAAAGAAAACTGGATTACACAATAGAAGCGGAAGACTCTGTAAAGAAAAACAACATCAAATAACACAAAACTGCTAGTGAAAGTTGCCATCCTCTACCAAGGGGCCTCAGCATCCCTGTCCAGCGGGTAGCCCCGAAGCCTACGCTTTCTCTCCAACAATGAACCTGCTTCCCATAGAAGTGTGACAAATGTCTTGCCCAGTGCCAGAAAGAAGACCAAAAATGCAATTATGTTTTGCAAAGCCATTATTTCTTAGGAATTCTATAGGGTAAAAGACTGAAATTTAAGTTCTTTTCTAAAAACAAACCACAACATCTTTTGTAGCTATGTCAAAATCCTCTGACGTGTGAAACTGTCTGGGAAGGAGGTTCAGGGGTAGAATACACACACACACACACACACACACACATTTTCATCTTCCCTGTTCCTATTTCCTTCATGGTTCAGTTTCAAATTTGTAGTGACAATGGCAGAGTCCAGCGTGGGAGTCTGACCTCTGTTACTGGCACTGGCTTCTGGTGCTCCCCTGGGCCCATAGAAGATGGATGGGCTTCATTCACTGCCATCTGGAGGGCCATGTGATCTGGCAAGCTGATTCCATGCCCAGAAACGAACCAGAGCCAAACTGCGGGACTCCCACTGCTTTCTAGAATGGTTTTGTGACCTGTGTTCCTGTGTCCTGTTGTGAGCCCTCAGTCAGCCAGCCTGGTTCTAATCTATTTAGCTGGATTATGGGGTCCAGTGACGCCTGAATTTACCAAACAGAGATGGTTCTCAATGACCACTTGATTCTCATACTGTAATGAGATACCATGACTATATTTCAATTTTGTGTTATCTTTCTGTCTTGTTTCCGTAATATATGGGAGATATTTAACGTGGCTTTAGTAATTCAGAAGAAAGACCACAGTAGAAATATATTAGCACACAGTGCACACAGCTCCATCTTTTAATTCTGAGTTCTGGGATGGCTTCTGCCATTTCTCAGGCATGTCCTCAGCCGATGTTGATGTGTCCACAGTGCATATCTAAATGATTTTTTAAAACTCTATATTTCCCTCTTTTCTTTTTGATCTTGGTCTGTATTTCATTTCATTTTCACTATGTGTTACAAAATACCCATGAACCAGATAGGACTTCCACCTCAATTCTAACAGGCTACCAAAAAATCACTTCTTAGATCGCTCTCTATCTGGATAACAGTAAGCTGCCTGGAAGACAGTCATCTTCCCATCAATCACCTGCATTCTCATCCTGGTTATTTACAGGAGTCAGCACCCTCCTTTTACCCAGGCTCCAGCAGGCAGTACCATTGGGCTCTTTCCTTTGTTCAAACTTTACATTCTACCAAACATCACTTACTCAAAGTGATCTCGGATTTGCACTTTTTTATGTCACTTCTGTGATTCTACTTAAGGCTCTTATTGACGATGGGCCTTCACAATCTTTGCTTACTGTTCATATTTAATTAGGCCACTACTCACTAACAGTGCTTTTCTCTCAGCTGGTCTAATTCTCAGTCACAACTCAAGCCCCCGGCATATCTCTGCTCATCCACGAAGAATCCCTCAAATGCCAATACTTACTAAAACCTACATTGTCTTAAATCATATCATATTTTAGGTGCCCATGATTTTATTGTAAAATATCCTATTTATGCTATTCCTCCGTTTCTTATATCTCCAAATCACTGTCTCTGGCAGTATAGACATATTTGTTTCATAGACTCCTTAGTGGCTCAAAACTTCATTAACAGAATCTTTAAAATCTATTTCCAAAAATACTTGTAAATCTTAATAATAATTACAAGTAAACACATATAGTTATGTAACCTTGCATGTTAAATATTTCCTTTTGCAAAAGTAAAAAATAAAGGAAAGATATGAAGTAGGCCTTACCCTCTTACACGTGTCATTATCAGTTTTGTTTCTTGGAAAACATCAGTCCTGTGTTTAAATTCTGTGTAAATTCTGTCTCCGTATCAAGCACTTGCTATAGAAAATATTATTTCTATATTTCCATGTACAATTTAGCTTTTTACCTGGGCATTGTCAGATGTGTCAGTGAGAGATCTGTGGGGACTCTGATGTTTATTCCTGCTTTGGAAGGTCATTATCATTTTAGTGAACTCATACAGTGCTCACCTCCAGTCTTGTGTGCAGCACTTAATCAATATTTCCTTCTAATTTCCTTACAAGCACAGTCTTAATGAGAATTTATGACTCTAGGTTACCATTTAGTCAATAATAATCCCTTGATGCCAAAAGAGTAAGTTCAGAGGCTGTCTTGTCAGATATAGGATGAATGTTGAAGAAAGTGTAGCCCATGGCTCAAATATGAAGGAAACTTACAAATATCAGGTTTCTCCCTCTGAACTCCTCTAATGAGAGGGTGAAGTAAAAAGGAATTCCTGCCTCAAGATATAATTTCACATCTGTACCACGTTCTAAGGGAGCTTCAGTCACAACAGAAAGCGCATGGGTGAGCTATCTTTTTAACAGAAAAATGTAAATTTATGCCTTTATAAATCAATGATTTTTAAACTGGTCAAGATTTGTTTGCAGAATCTTATCTGGGCTGCATGCATGCATCGACCTGCTCTGTTTTCCTATCTCCCATATTTGCTACTTTCCCTTTCAAGAACCGTCCCAGAGAAGACCAGTCATAGTGGACTAGTCATCAAGGTGAAAACTGAACTTATTGCCCTGCACCATCCCAGCACATGTGGCTCATAAACTGCCTTCAGGGTCAGATATAAGGTGTGAAATCCTGTATCCTGGCTTAACGCAGGTCCTTGAGTCTGCTGCAGGGGCCTTATCCTGGAAATAGTGGTTCTTGTCTCAATGCATTGCTTCTCTTGCTCAATATTTTACACCTCAGTGAAGAGGAAGTAGAAATAAAGTCTGCCAAAGGTTCACCGGGACCAAGGCAGCCATGTCCATTCCTGACAGCCTGATAACCTACATTCCTTCCTTTGTGTAAGATTGTCTGACTGATGGCCTCGCAATGTAACTTCAGTTCTAACACAAGACTTCTTTCTTTGTGCAACCCATTCTTTCTATAACTGATAGCCTTATGATGTAACCACAAATGTTTAAACTCCCTTAGCAACCCAAATATGTCACTCAAACCTTCCAGTCATGCATTGACTCTACCTTTGGACCGCCCTCTTAACTTCCCTGTAAAAGCCCCAGCACCCCATCAGGTGAGGCTGACTCTTTGGAGAGAAGTCCCAGTGAAGCCCCTGGGCATGGTAACCTGCCTTCTAAACTTCCTTGGTACAGTTTCTTCCCATATTTGGTCTGTTTTTCTGCAGCATCAACATAAAATAGGAGGTTTTACATTTAATTTCTCAGTGTGTTATCAGTGTTTTTCCAATTGCCCACAGCAAAACATTTGTGCCCTTACCTTAGATTTTCATCAAACCACCCCTCATAGCTTGAGAATTACCTAGATATTTTGGGCCCCAGATATTCTTCTGGGTGTATATAAAAGGTCAGTGTCTAAAATTTGGAGTCAAGAACCTCATTTTTGCTTCGTTTACCAGTTCCTCTGCAAATCTGTCCTAGTCTCTTTAACATTCGGCCCAATTACCAAGGGATTACTTGCAGTCCTACAAGGCGATCATAAAGTGTTTTTTTGTAATACCCCAGCAGATGGTGCTACTCTGCCATAAACAGCTTTCGCCTTGGTCAATCAAGTGCTATGAATTTGAGGAAAAAAGCAATGCCTTTTTAGGTGTTAATTGCTTACCTTGTGTTGCAACTTTTATAGTACCTTGTTTGGTTTCAGAAGCTTTCCCTGGCTCTTAGGGAAAAGAGATAAATGAAGTATTACAATGTAATATTTCAAAAACGTAAGAAAATAAAAAGGGGGAGGAAATACAAAAACAGTCAATGCCACAGTAATATTGATTACAGCATTTGGATTTTTTGATAAAAATAAAGTTATTGAGGGAACTGTAGAGCGAGGTTTGCTGAGACAAAAGAAGACTGAAATGAATCGAAGCACAAGATAAAGATTCCATAAACTGTTTTATCTCACTGTAGTCTGACCATGAAATGTTGTCTGACATTTGCGTACTACCGAAACCTAAACCTGCAACACTTCTTAGTAAATGACTTCTGTATTATCAGTCCTTTAATCGGTGGGAGATGTAGGCACCAATAATGGGGCTCCATGAAAGACAGTGGCTAGGACTAGTGTAAGAATTAGCCCAGGACCACCGATTGCCAGCGGGAGAACTGAGTTCCCCCGGAACCCCTTGCCCCTCGGCACTGTTACTGCACCCCTCCGGGACCACTGATGCTGGAGTGTGCCAGAGCTGTACTCTGTGGCTTGTTCCCTCCTGACTTAGGTGCACGGGTGTGCTCTTTCTCCTCTCCTTTGTTTAGAATTTTCTGGTTAAGGAAACGGAGTACAAAAGACACATCACAAATGTAAATATATTTAATTATTTACAATAAAACTAAAGAGAAAACAAAGCCTTGGATGTGCAACCAGGCAGTTCACTTTCTGTGTTTCTTGACTCACTTTACCAAGTTTCCAGAGAAAATTATTTACCAATATGCAAAGATCACTGGGCGATTCATTTTAGGTTTCATCATTGCCATTCACTTGTATTTATTTAGGACCTACCATGTGAGTTATAAAACATCTGTAAATGTAGTATTGGATAGATACAGATATATACATGTATTTAATGGTTGATTCGGTATTACCTTATTTAAAATTGAAATTAAAGTTAAAGTTATAAGATAAAAGATTGCACAGTTCCATCCATGCCTTCTCTAGTCATGAACTTTCATGACAGTAATTATAAAGAATTATAACCTAATATTTCACATTTTCTGGTCCCATGAAAGAGGTTTAATTTCCAATTTACTTTATTTATTGTTGGAGAGATAATTTTTCATTTATATCACAACCATGATTAAGAAAATGCTAATTTGTCATCGTGTTTTTAAAAATAAGTGAAATATTATTTGGTCTACATATTTTACTTTTTAGGAGAGTTATTTCTTCAGGAAAAAATCTTTTGGCAAAATTTAATTCGAGCCACCTAAGCTTTCTTTATAATTAATTTTCATTTTTTTCTGGAATAAAATTCCATGTCAGCTACAACACTAGCAGGATCTCTGTTCAGCCTAGACTAGATGGTCCCAATTAATAATATGTCAGAATTTACATGTAAACATTGAATTCTTAATATATTTCTGTGTTGCTTTAACCCTTCACCTATGGCTAGCCTTTAGTAGGAACTTATTTAATATTTGTTGATCAAAGTGGGATGGGGAAACAAACTGTACAGCTAAACAAAAACAAACCCCCAAGTTGTTCAGGTGGCTCCTTGGAATTCCCAAAATGTCAGAACCTTGTGGAGCAGTTTGTGCTTGAATTTGGGGGGAATAAAAGTTTTTAAGATGTCAATGGTAAGCTTCCTTAAACATTTTGCCACTGATCTTTCTAATGTTTTCTCCACTGTCTTTCCATTCTCATGAATCTGTCATCCTAAGCAAAACTGTGCTTGTGGGATTGGATTGGACTCTCCAGGATGTACAGTTGTGATTTATAGAGTTTTTCTCTTACTCCTTCTGGTGGCCAGCAGGCTGATGTGTCAGCTACTTCCTCTCTTGGAAACTTTTTCATTATGTTCAGAAACTGGTCCCTGACCACTCTGCATTCCCCATTTGAGTGACCTGAAGGTTGCTCATCTCTCAATGAAGACACATCCTTGAATAGTCTCAATCTGACTACACTTGGGCTGCACATGGAAAGGGTATATTATGGACACATTCCTTATAGACCTTCTCTGTGCTATGCCTCAGGTCTCCCCCTGTGGCTTTGCTATCCCAAACTCTACAGTTCACTAACGCACACGACTGTTGTGCATTGGAGACGCCACCCTGAGATAGATGTGTGTTTTAAAGAGGATATTGCAAAGTCTACCTATAGAGAACTTTAATGGACATAAATCTCAGGATCACAGCAGTGGCGCGCTTCTCTCACAGCTCCATCTGTACCTCCTTTAATCTAGAACTTCCCAGCCAACTTACGTTACCACACAAACTATTCAGTAGAAACTAACATTTAAAAACCACTGCCTGTCAACCACTCTGCCAAATGAATCCACCTAAGAACAATATCACCCACAAAGTTATTGCTGTCATGTGCAAAGATGTCAAATATGATCTCTACTTTGCATGGTATTTTATCTTTCAAAACTATGTGAGTTAGGGAAGAAGTAAGTGCTGAGAACATAATACGTATCACAAGAAAGTCACACCAAAATTGTGAGTGCAGTTACTTTAAATCCAAATTTTCATAGAAATACATTTAATGCCTTTCTTTGATATGTGCTAATACAAAATAAACCTTTACTAGAGAAAACCCCAAATGTATACAAAAGTTTTTAAAGTGTCATATTGAGCCCATGTTCCCAATATTCATTTCCAAATATCAGGTAATGGTCAATTTTATTTTCTCAGTACTACCCAAATTTTACATACTCCAATTAACATTTTCAAATGATTTTGGTTTTTTTTTGTATTAGCTTCTATTTAATAATTTTTAAATAAAGTACTTTGATTTAAATGAGTTGATCTGATCACAAGGGTACTCAACTAAAGCATATAATAGTTTTGAAGTTGATATAGCAGCTCTTTCATTGCTGGGCCAAAATACCCAGTACCAACAATTTAAAGGAGGAAAGGTTTATTTTAGCTCATAATTTCAGGGGGTTCAGGCCATGGTGACTGGTTCCAAGGCAGAAATGTCATGAGAGACAGGCACACATTGCAAAGGAAAGTTGCTCAAGTGGCCAGGACACAGAGAGAAAGAGAGAGAGACAGAAAGAGAGAGAGAGAGAGAGAGAGAGAGACAGACAGACAGACAGACAGAGACAGAGAGACAGAGTCAGAGACAGACAGAGAGACAGAGACAGTCAGAGAGACAGAGAGAGAGACAGAGACAGACAGACAGACAGACAGAGACAGAGAGACAGAGTCAGAGACAGACAGAGAGACAGAGACAGTCAGAGAGACAGAGAGACAGAGACAGAGCCAGACAGAGCCAGACAGAGAGAGAGAGAGAGAGAGAGAGAGAGAGAGAGAGAGAGAGACCGGAGGAGGAGGAGGAGGAGCTAAATGCACTTGTCTAGGGCACTCCTCCGTGATTTGCCTCTTCCCATTAGCCCCACCTGCAAATATTGTAGTCAGCTATGAACTCAGTAATGGTGCAACCGACAGCTGATTACAGCACTCCAGGATTTAACCGACTTCCAAAAGCGCCACTTCTAAAATGTGACCTTTGAGGAACATTTTACATCCAAACCTGAACTTCAGCATTTTACACTACAAAATTGGGCCACATGGACCTAGACTACATGTCAGCATAATTTACTTGAAAGTGTTTGAGCAGGAAATTATTAACTAAGTTACTCTTTGTAGGGCTCTGAAACATGTACTTCTATTAACAAATTGGCATGAATTAGATAAGCCATGTGTTTCAATCTCTTGATTACATTGGCATGGCAGAGTTGTAGTTATACAACTAAAGAAGCATTGTGAGATGGCAGATATTTTGTTAAGGAATTAGTTTTGCATACAGGTTTAAATATAAGTTTAATGTGATAAGCATTTCATCTATCTATAGAATGCCATTTCTATTCTGACTTGAGTTATTATAAAATCCAAATCTACTGACTTTTCAGGTAACTTTAGCATTATGAGTCTCTCTTGTTTTTTGACTGAGTTAACCAGCAGTATTTTAGAGAATCATATTTATGTCTTAAATATTTTCAAGCTTTCCCTAGCCTCTGGAAAAAAATCATTTGTTATGGTTTTGTAAAGAAAACTACCAACAACAAATGTTGGAGAGGCTGCGGGGAAAAAGGAACTCTTCTGCACTCTTGGTGGGAGTGCAGGACTGGTACAACCACTGTGGAGGTCAGTCTGGAGGTTCCTTAAAAAGCTGGTATTGGATGTTCCACTTGACCCAGCTATTCCACTTCTGGGAATATTCCCAGAAGAACTGGAAACATCATATTACAGTGATATATGCACCCATGTTTATAGCAGCACAATTTGGAAATAAACTAAATGTCCATCAACTGAGGAATGGATAAAAAAAAGATGTGGTATTTTTGTACAGTGGATTACTATTCTGCTATAAAGAATGATCACATTGAGATATTTATAAATGAATGGGTGCAACTTGAGATCATACTCATAAGCAAAATAAATCAAACTCACATGTATAAATACCACATAGTCTTCCTAGTATAAAAAATGGTAAGAGTACCTAAGATACAAAAACCTCAATAAATATAGTGAAAGAATAAGAATCTGCTCAAAGGGGAAAAAATGATCTCAGGGAAAAAGAAAAAGAAAAAGGAAGGGAAAAGAAAAAATATCTGAAATTATATAAACACACTTAGGATAGCTAAGATGATTGTGCTGCAAATTCTATAAATTCTTCGAACATAATAATTATCATTCAGAGGATTAGAACAATTGTGCATATTATTGAATGGTGATCGGAGGAACGCTTGAAGATCGTTATGTAAAATAACCCCTAGTTATGCTCCTACCACTTGTTTTGAAGGCCTCTATTGTCAGTGTTCTGGGCGCTTTGCTATTGTTATTTATTTGTCTTTTTGTTTCATGTTTTCCTAGTAATTTGTTTTGTTTCATTTAGTTTTGTTTTTGTCTCTAATACAGAAAGGATAAGTATACATGCAGAGACTTTTACAAGCATAGAACTTTTGAAGAAAAAGAGACATTATTGTATCCATTGCTGATTCCATA